ATTCGGATCTACTAAAATCCAGCTTGTGTGGGCGGCTAATAACGCCATAGAACGCCTTGGATTTCACTGTGTGTGTGAGGTGTTGCGGAGTACACTTTGTCGTGAAGCTCTGACAAGGGTGCTCAGCCCGGGCCGGATGATGTGGTTAGTTATGTGACAATCCTCACTGGTCAAAACACGACAGAGCAATCTGAAAAGAATCAGCTAACTTCTGGACTGCCGCTCTCCTCAGCGCTACGCTTCGGATCCGCAGCGGGTCATCCGCTTGCAGCATAGTGCATCAGCTAGGACAACAAAAGTGAAATCAGAATCGACTCATGATGAGCCAGTCATCGATTAAACCGACCAATGTGACTTGAATATGTTACATCACGAGTACACGTGTGCTCGAAAATTCTTTAACAAGATTTAAGACATAATGAAGGCATAATGTTTTTTATATGAGATAGTCATGGGACTTTCACATGGAACTGAAACCATGCCCCCGATATACCGTCAATACGGGCTTGCCGATTTATCGCAATTTGACTGGACCAGCTTCCCAAATTGTCCAGCTCCATGGCCACTCATGGTCGTAGAAGAGGACATCGACCCACACGTGGAGGTTGAAGTGGGATTTAAATTGCCAGATATCCGATTTATGATCAACGGTGTTTCCGAAGATGTCCAGAGAGATACCCGCTCCGACAACTAGCGCCGAGACATCAATGCCCAGCTCACCATATGCTTTGACATCACCATTGTCCGAAGCATTGACCGCAATTTGACCAGAGAGTGTGGCTTTCAATGCAGGGACGAAAGCAACTCTGATTATGACCGCGACCGACATCGCTATTTTCCCGGCGTAAGTGCCATTCCCACCGCTGCCTGCACCCGTGAGACATACTTGAATGCGCAAGCCTGCGAAGCCAATATCAGCAGCAAAAACCATGGCGCATCCAGCGGCTTCGAAAGCAAAGAGTAGGACCTCCGTCTCCGGCTGCTTCAAATGGACTGTGACATTGAGGTGAGCTCTATTTTCCGATATGGCTATATCGGTATAAGCCATATATACATCGAGGGCCAGTAGTGTGTCGTTAGAGGCGTAACCAACATACAGGCAGTATGGAGTGACCGACTTGGTCACACCAGTCCTGCACGCCGAGGGTAATTGGAACTCCTCCTCATCCTTCTTTTGTAGAGGAGAGTGATTCTTGTACAGGAAGAACTTATGTGCAGCAGTGCCCTTGGGGAGGCGAAAATAATCGATCGGTGCTACCGATTTATCTCCACGAATATTAGTCTTGTTCGACCTCCAGTCGTGGCTCTTCCCATCGTTGAAGAATAGACGAGCCTCTTCGCCAACCAAGCGGCTCTTGATAAACTCAACGTCTAGTTGTGGCGCCTCCTCTCTGGCTGCTCCCAGATCGTGGCTCTTCACGATATCATACGCCGCGTAAATATCCTTCATGACAACATCCAAAGTTAGTGCATCGTCGAGCTCTTCCCAATGAGTGACCTCGGACTCGAGATAGACCTTATCATTCTCGAAGGTGTTGATACCCAAGAGCTTCACCATCTGCTTCTGATCCTTGTCAAGATAGAGGAACCAAGCGTTAGTGATTACACCGGTCTGGGCGAGGGCGGTGAAGTTGAGACCGGATTTCGGATCAACACCTTCTACTCCACTTCTGACCCATTTGTTAAGCTTCTGTCCACCTTCGTCTACCAAGCCCTTATAGACCCAACCATCACCCTCGAGTGTACGATTGGTATTGAGCCTGCGACCATCGGGCGTATCATTCTTGTGCCTGGTTCCCTGCTTTAGGAGGAACGACTGTCTGTTGAAGAGTTGGGAGGTGCTGAAGTGGGTGTCGTTCTGGCTCATGAGGATATACTGGGTAGGGGTGACTTGGCGCTGCTTGAACCACCGCTTGACCGTCCTTGGCGATGAAGATGTCTCGATGAACGGTGGAGGACTTGTTATCATCCATACCAGGTAGGACCAGCCCTTCAGTTTCCATAGCCTTGGAGATGTGGCATGCCACTGGTTTCCCTTTGACGTCCCTCAAGTCAAGATTGCAGAAATGTGTCGTCTTCATCTGCATGCGAACGTTGCCCATCTTGAAGGCACATACCCCACCACGTATCAATAAGACGACGAGGAGGATGTTCAACATCGGGATGATAAACGGAGCTACTAACTTTTCAGTACAAAGCTACTGTTCGCCTCAAAGCAGTTAAAGCAGGGCGGACAAAAAACCTTCGGCTATTACTCAATCTACTATTACAATCCAGTGAAAGCACAAACTCAATGAACAAATCCATTGTAGCTTGCCGCGGTGTGCGGAGATGCACTCGTGAAACGCGTGAATCAATTCCTCGCGGAGTCACACCACTCGCCCCATAACGAGCTTGTAATACAGGTCCTGTATATCACGCTAATCACGGAACAGTCGACTAAATGCGTCATTATAAAACATTGTCCGAGACGTTCATCTTACGGGAAAAAATGATAGGACCTTGAGGCAAGGTATGGCAATGTTGATGCTTGTTGCTTCTGTGCGGCACCCACACGCATCAGCTGACTGGCGCCAGTTGTGCTTGCGTACCTACGTATCCATTGGTTTCGAGTAAGTGCAACATCACTACTCTCTCTATTTGTCTTGTCCTACCTTACTATACTATTTTCTGCTGTCTTAGTACGTACTTCCCCTCCAACCATGTCTGGAGGCGGGTCTCACTACTTTCTTGTTGAGAAGTTGTGGCTTGCGTGAGGGCCTCCTAGGTAGAGCCATTATTTATAACCTCGCTTGTGATACACGGAGAGTCGGACTCAAGGAGGTGGAGCAAATTGTACGCATCTCCCTAGCATACAATTTGTGCCATCTAGATTTCGGAGCCGGCATAAATTGTATCAAGGTGAAATTTCCGTTTGGCAGACCTCACTTCGCCGCACATACTGTCTTCGGGTGACGCTCCCGCCGCATATCACCACAGCAGCTCTCTTCAGTTTCGCTCTACTGTCGCGCGTAGAGGTACGGTACGTCCCGTACCATTACGATCTCCGCGGTGTGAAACAAGTTCAGAACAGATGACATCGATATCGGAGTGCTTTGAGCAAGGCGTCGATGCTTCCGCAGTAGGAAGTCTGAAGGGTGTACTCGCATGTCCCCCGGTTCACTAGGCTACGCTGACATCCCAGAGTGGAGGACTAGGCGTAGGGTTGTTCCCGACAACTGGGACTTTGTGGATAAAATATCGGAGACTCGATGGAAAACATTAAAAGAGAATTAGTGGTTGGGCGAAAGAGACATGTGGCCGGGGCAAGCGAAGTTGATGGGAGTGTAAGCGAGTCTTGTTGTACGAAGTTCAAGATCCAATACTGTTCTATAAACCCAACGTTTGGCTAACGGCTGGATGAAAATTGTTCAGTCATGTACCCTGGTTTCGTCGAATTCTCAGTGACTATCTTTCAGTGGAAGACTTCCACAAGATGTCAGTCACGACTGCTGTTTCCCGTGGTCGAATCGCGTCCGCGACGGCGCTGAATTTGTTCGATTTGCCAATCCTGAACAGCGCGAGAGTGAACAGAAATGAAAAAAGGTTTAAAAGGCCTCGTATAACTCGTTGCGCGATTTGCCGTTCTTTATCATCAATCGATCACTCACTTGTTTAGCAGCCCATCCGAGGAGCTCGATCTCGACTATCTTGGCGAGCACGCAGATGTCCGAACATGAGCGCGGCGGCAAGTGAGATATCTCTTGAATTCGATGGACGATCAATTCGAGCATCCCTAAGAATCTAATTCGAAGTGCGATCAAATTGTATCAACGTCGTGGAATGAATCATATAGTCACTCAAGCTTTAGATCCAAATGCGCCACAGCAACCGGGCTACCTATGAGGGCGAACTCTGAGCGTAACCAAGAGTCAGTGAATCTCTCTAATCGGCTCTCGAACTCATCGATCTCCCCGAAGGCCCAGAAGCGAAAAGCCTGCCAAATTCATTGAGGAATTAGGGAACCGTTTGAGAGGATAACACTCGAATAGCTCCCTTGACGTCGTCGTCTTTCTTTTCTTCCTTTGTTGGCAAAGGAGTGGTATCTGCATAAGCACTGGCAGCGATCAGGTCGTCGTCCAGCGCTGAGCACCTCCACTGTGGGGCTGGTCTTGTGATACTGTGGTGGGCCGGCTCTCTAACATGCCTCGTGGCAACCAGATCTGAGGGATCCGCTGTTTAACATTTGAGTCGAGTGATAGTAGGTTGAGATTGAGCAGGGCCGACAGATACGACTTGAAGAGAGTACGAATAACTTCCTCATAAAATTTCGATTAGAAGTAGTCTGCCTACGATACTGGTGCTGTAATTTAATCTAGTTCGGAACTTGCGTATCAGACGGCACGATCCCCAAGGGAAGAGGAATATGCATCCGATGGCTCTCTTGGAGCGATGGAAACTGACTCGATTCGACTGCGAGGTGAATTCTCCACGAATTGATGCGCCAACGCACAGCCTACCCGGAAGACCATCTCGATGTCTCTAGATCGATCGATGATATAATGTCTAGGCCCCAGTCGCATTCCCGGCAGCGATAGATCCATATCCCTCAGAGCCTATGAAAGATCGATCGCGCTATGACGTGGACAGTGTGATCATCGTACTCGTTTAGATTGCTGTAGCGTTATATGATGCCGCAGCCGACAACACAGTAGTGCCTCTATATATCCTCGTATTCTGATTTACACCAGATGCACGTCGAATCCCAGTACACATTCAGAACGTCTCTGGAGTATTTTACCGTGTTGGCGCGAAATTGCTCGGATGAAATCCTCATTTCGCATACTACCAAATACGAGTCTTTCTGAAGCAATGTCTCGAAAGTCATTAGGAATAGTGTATTTCCTTCTATCTTGTCCCATGAGAGCCGAACTCTCGTATTAAATTAGAACGTTCATCGAACTCCGCTTGTTGAATGTGTGCGCATTTGAAATTGCATTAGCGCAGTAGTAGCACCGTCATAAATAAGTGGCAACCATGCTCATAAGTTATAATCATGGTTGCCGGTTATTTATGATAAGCCTTATGATTGGTAACAAGGAGGAGCGTATCCTCTCACAGTTCTCTAGCTTATGTTAAGCATACACTGATTTTGACTCGCACACTTGTCAGTGGCTCACTTGTCTGGTAACGATTCTGCATCCTCTTGCTCAGTCTTCAGTGCCTCTCGGTTGACCCGTGATTCGACCACTGCTCGCTGCCTAAAGTGTTCATCTCTAAGTGATGAATCTTTTTCATTAACCTATTTTGTTGCATTCTGAGCTGTAGTATCTCTCTTCTAACTTTCTTGAGCAGATCCTTAACAAAGGGGTTTCGCTCGACGATCAACCTAAGAAACGCCGTATTCCGATTGGTATCGTCCTCCATGTGATAGCCCTTCCGGCGGTTTCCGATCGATAATGGATTGTTATGTTGCGATTGGTGAATCGTTCATGGAAAAAACATTCAGTGTCTCACTCGTTGTGGTCAACAACTTGGCGTAACGAACGAGACGTTGTGTGCATTGCACACTGTGCAATATGGCGTTGTGCAAAACCAGGCCGGGTTATAATCCTCAACAGCACCAGGCTTTGACGAGCTCTATGATAAAGCTAATGTCTGAGATGATATAATCTCTATCATCTCAGACTTCCCTATGTTGAAATAATTATTCCGATGAGGGCTAGTGGGATAAATTAGGAACTATAGTTCTGTCGACGGAACCGTGCATGAAGCCCCCTACTTGAATCGGTTATCTTTGTCAGCTACCGCCGAGACTCGTTTGAAACCATCAGACGACATCGCGGCTAGTTGCAGAGTGCCTACTCCATCATTGGAGCGCGAGAAGGTGTGGATGCATCTCACTTTTGGCTTTCATCGTCTCAGGTAGTTCATCAAATAGATCATCTGTTGACGACTTG